TGCTAACTCTGCCCACACATCTATTCTGGTAACACAATTGCAGGAAGCCAGATTTCATTAAAGGAAGCCAGATTTCGGTTGAATATCGGGAAAAACATCCTAACTGTTAGAGCAGTACGACAGTGGAACCAGTTACCTTGGGAGGTGGTGAGTGCTCCAACACTGGGGGCATTCAAGATAAACTTACTTAGATACTCACCTGACAGATACGCTTTGATGGTATTCCTGCGTTGAGCAGGGGGTTGGACTTGATGGCTTTGTAGGCTCCATTCAACTTCATTTTTCCATTGTTCTATGACCTAACAGTGCCACACACAATATCAAAGGCACTCCTGTTATTCACTGCCACTGTTACTTTATTCACAACTATCAAGCCCATCTCTCATCACAAGACTCCAAGGTAAAAACTGTCTATATTCCCTACATTAACACATGTGATTACTCTGCTAACTTTCTTTCATTCTTCCTTTCCCCTCTTGAAGTTTTACTGAATGTTCAACTCCACCCTCACCCTTCTATCTCCCCCGCCCTCTCCGCTCAGACCAGTTGTCTATTTTCTGTCTTGAAGAATCTTTATAATAGGACCCTAAAACAAACACGCCTCATTACTGAATGTAACCAGTGAACGCTTAGAATGTGAAACTGATTTCATTTACATTTCATTCTGTTCTGTTCTGTTTATGTCTGATGAAGTGGATGTGTCCATTAAAGCTTACATTAAAATATAAGTCTTTAAAGTGCTACATGTCTGTCGTTTTGTATTCTCGAAGGCTTTCACGGCCGATGGTTGTTGTGGGTTTTCCGGGCTGTTTGGCCATGTTCTTAAGGTTTTTCTTCCTAACGTTTTGCCAGTGTCTGTGCCGAAGCCCCATGGAGACACATGGAGTGGCCATGGAGAGCCCCCTCAGCCCGGTTATAGCAAACCTCTACATGGAACATTTCAAAAAACAGGCCCTGGCTTCGGCACCCTTCGCACCCACAGTCTGGTTCCAATACGTGGATGACACCTTCACAATGTGGAACCACAGTGAAGAAAAACTGAAAGAATTTCTAAACCATCTCAACAGCATCCACACAAATATACAATTCGCCATGGAAAGAGAAATAGAGGGCCAACTCCCGTTCTTAGATGTCATGGTCATATGCAAAACTGACATCCTATTGGGACACAAAGTTTACCAAAAAAACCCCACACAGACTGGTATCTACGCAAAAACTCCAACCACCACCCACAACAAAAAAGAGAGATAATCAAAACACTAGCAGAATGTGCAATTTCTTTCAACTCAACCATCTGAATTTGGCCCTACAGGAAATGGCTATTTTTAAAATCAACCCTAGTGGTAGATACGGATTAACCGGCTTTGCATTAGTTCTTATGGGAACTAGTGCTTCGACTTAAGAGCAGCACCTCGACTTAAGAATGAAAAACAGCAGGTATGGATTAAATGGTTTTCAATGCATTCCTACTGAAAAGTTTGCCTCAACTTACGAACTTTTCGATGTATGAACACTGTTCCAATACAGATCAAGTTCGTAAGTCAAGATACCACTGTATTTTGTCCCTCAGAAGTAAAATAAAGGAAAATAAAAATTAAGAGATAGGAGTTTCATTTTTTATGCATATATGCTTTTGGCTATTCCCATCTTCTCTCAGGCACTAAGAAGATAAATCCTCTTTTACCAAAATGTAACAAACACTTTTATGGGTTTATTCCGGTTTGTTGCACCTGACTCCCTAAAGGGCACCTAAACCAGGCCACTTTTTAGAATAGGAGAGAGCTCCTGTTCTAGAAAGAGTTTTTGTGCTAAGCCTCATGCAAACTATCCAGTTTTGAGGTAATTTCCTGGATGCTTTAATCACATATGGACCTTACAGCTCCTAGATTCAGCCCCTCTGCACTTTTGGATAGTGTTACTGCCGATGCTAGGTCCTTACTGCTTTCTTATGCTGCCCCTAAAAGTAGCATTGTCAAGCAAGAAGTGCAGTAGCATTACCTTTGTGCCAAGTACTGCCATGAGTATGTGTTAGGATGCTGAAGAATTTGAGTTTAGATTTTCTTGTAGAAAAAATATAAAATAGTTCTGCTACAGTGTACTAACAAAACAGATCTAGACATTTCCACGTCTGTCTTCCAAAAACAGCAGTCAAATATTTCATTTTAACAGATGACACTAACTAAACTTCTTCCTGAGACAGATGGTACAGGCCCCTGCAACCTCATGAAGCAGCATGGAGACAAAAGTTTCTGCCAGGATAGGCCAGAGATACAGCTGAATGTCGCACTGCTCTTGCACGGTACTGATGGACATCCCTTTGCTACCCCACTTGCTAACACAGCGATCAGTGGTGATGATTTTCAAATTAAAAGACATTTCGTTCAGACATCTGGCTCTAGCAGGAACAACTCGGCCTAACCCTCTAATTGCCTGTTTCTTTTATTTAGTCTTCTCCTGAAGCCGATCTTAGTTGGCACAATCTAGCAAGCATTCTTCATGACTAGATCCCACTGGAAATAAAGGAACAGTTTTGTTTATGGTAGAATTTAGTCTTTTTGATAGATTCCCAACAATGGCCACTACAAAAATTATATGAGGTATGCAAGCCTTAAACGCTGCATGACTTTCATCACAGTTTAAACCACTCTTCAATATTAGAGCTTAAAAACGAGAACCACTTGGAGATGATTTACCTTTTTTTCAAATAATTTTTGCTCATGCTTAACAGTAGAATTAATATATAGAACATAGCATAGAAATACTGTGGTAGAATACACTCTGGCTCAGTTTGAGGTGTAACTGCTTCTCTTCAAACTTGATGAAAACATGGATGCTAAGGATGCGGTTTGTAAATCAACTCCTTACTGCTTTCTCTTTGATGTCACTACTGCAGTATGTTATAATGAAGGTGGTCACACTGTCTCTCCTATCTCTTTTGCATTGAAAATATTATTATTATTATTATTTATTTATTTATTTTATTGATATCCCGCCTATCTAGCCAACTCAGGACCACTCTAGGAAGTTCATTGATTTTCGCTGAAAAATATAAAACCAGGTGAGGGGGGAAAATATATTTTCTTGCTGTATTTGTCTGCAGTCCCTTGCTTTTGTATACTCTTCTTCCAGCTCATCTCATTCTGGGATCAGAGTCAGGCTCAGAAAAAATGGCCTAGAGTGACAGACCACAGGGAGACAGAGGGCTGGTACAGCTCACCTGCTGATGTTCAAAGAAAAGCCAAACACCATACAGTAAAGGAATATGAGAGCATATATGCAAGTGAGTGAGAGACATTATACATACCTATGGAAAGTATATGGTTAAACAAACATAGGTGACTCCATCACATTTAGTCTACCAGTTAAGATTATCTCATCAAACCCAGCTGTTGCAGTTGCATTATGTACATTAATCGTTCAAGAACATACAGTAATGCCCAAATCTTGTTTTGAGTGGAAGATGACACGAAAACATGCATGCATTACACCTTCTGCCTTTGTGACAAAAGGCTGTAAGACTAAATTGGGAGCAAACATACTATTCTACGCCACTGCTGTCCTGTCTGTTCCGTCAAAAATGCCCACACGGCCACCCTTTTCAAGGACACTCATTAAAGATGCTTCTGACAACTAGGAGATGGGCACTGGACTATTTAAATCTTTGGCAGTAACTAGCAGGCTGATAAAGTATGACTACTGTCAGATAATTTAATGTATATGGGAAAATGCACATGTAGGAAGAATATATCTGTATTAGAATATGTGTGCATGCACATATCTGAGATCCCAAAGCCTACTACATGCAAGCACTGCAATGGGGCTTGAATGCCTTTCCATAGAACAGTGTTCTTCTGATACACAGCCTGGATTTATAAACCAAAGGACATAACGGGGGGGGGGGGGGGGG